TCAACTTGTCTTTAAGAACTTGAAACGCATTATGTTGGTCATGGGTCTACACAAATTTAATATTTTTCTTCAACAATGAATTGAGGAGAGTGGAAAGTTTGGAGAAATCCTGTATAAATTGTCGATAATAGGACGCCAGTCCAAGGAAACCACGTAGTTGTCAAAGATTATTGGGGATGGGAAAGTTTTTAATGACCTCTACTTTTTTCAGGTCGGTAGAAACGCTATCCTCATTGATAATGTAGCCAAGGAACTTAAGCTCAACCTTGGCGAAATGGCATTTTTTTGGATTCAACTTGAGCCCTGCCTTTTGAAGACGATCAAACACCTCGGCGAGATGCTGGACATGTTCATCAAACGTGGACGAATAAACATTAATATCGTCCAAATAGACGACCATGAATTTGCCGATGACCTCTTGAAAGATTCAGTCCATAAGTCTTTGAAAAGTCGCAGGAGCGTTGGTAAGACCGAAAGGCATTACGTTGAACTCGAAAGTTCCAAATTGAGATATAAAAGCGGTCTTTTCCTTATCAATTGGATTCATCTCAATCTCGCCAGTATCCGCTAGCAAGATCTAGAAATGTATACCAAGTAGAATGTCGAAGATTATCTAATAAATCGTCGAACGGGGTAACGGGTAACTATCTTTCTTGGTGACGGCATTAAGTCGACGATAGTCGACACAAAACTGAGTCTTGCCGTGTTGTTTAACGAGAACGATAGGGAAAGCCCAGGGGCTATAAGAGGGTCGGATAATATCAGCCCGTATCATTTGATTAATTTCTTCTTTTAAAAACTCCTGCTCCATGGGGGACGTACGGTAGTATCGTTGCTTGATAGGAAGGGCTCCTTTGGTATGTATAGAATGGGTGACGAAATCAGTTCGACCCAATTCCTGGGGAGTCCATGCAAAAAGGTTATCGTATCCCACAAGCAATTCCTCCAATTTATCATGATCGTCATCTCACAAGTCTCCTATATCCAACTTCTGGGGTGATTCTTCTACTTCATCGAAGAAGAATTCGGGGTCAGAACCTTCACCATCATCATCAAAGTCGGAAAGGTTATCCCCTGGTAGATAATCCTTGTCACTATCCATATTCCACCATGCCTCACCCACTCCTCGACCTTCGGGGCAGACGTTATACTGAGATAA